GCGAGGTCCTGGCCTCGCGACTCTGCGAAATCAACGGCGGAACGAGAGAAAGAAGACCCAACATGCGGTTCGAAACTGGATGGATCGCAATGACGAGGAAGAACCATCCCCCCATCTACAGCTTTCCCAGTGGCCGACCCTAGAGAACGGGAGCACGAGTGCTCGGCCAGATTGGCATAGGAGACTTAGCCTCTCCAGAGAACTTCGGACGCAGAGATCTCGTCAGATATCAGATGTCAGATCTGCGGCTAGCGACCCAGCAGATTTCGTCTCGCAACCTGCCATCGGGTCCTTCTTCCGGAACATTGTCGCAGCGACCAAAGCCAAGGAGGAGGAGAATCAACAAACAGATGCAGACGGCGACGATGAACTTGTTACAAATGACGAGGAGGAGGAGGAAGACATCGCAACGAACGCTGGCGACAGCCGTCGGGGCCCCGTCATACACCAAACGTCGATTGACGATTACTTCAATACCACTCCCAGAACCAAGGGATTCGTGCCACCCCCGGCATCTTCTTCGTTGGGATCAAGTGGCAGGCCCTCCGTGTCGGTGACTCCTCGCTCTGCGCGTCGCATGCCACACAGCCGGACCATGTCAACGAACACGATTTTGTACGCACCGCAGGAGTTGCGTCGGCCGCCTAGTTCATCCTCCCATTCTTCGCCCGAACCGCCGCCTACGCGTGCGCGTGTGCAGAACGGTCGCCCTACGGTAGTTGAACCGGCTACGGCTAGTGGCCATCGTTCCCCCCGCCGGCAAACATATGTCACCAACACGCGGCCGAGACCCATCATGCCACCAAGAGATGCAGTGCAGACGGCGCCGAACCGAGCAGCTCTCACGGGTATCGATCAGCGCTTACAGCGCCCAAATCCTCTGAGACGGTTGTCTTCGGTTGATATGAGTATCCTGTCCGAGAACATCGTTCCTGATGACCCAGCGGGAGGCATGCCTTCGAGCTTCCAAACACAAATGGCCATGGCTATGATGAAGGATGCACGACTAGGCGGTGCGGGACGAGGCCAGGATGCTGGTGACAGCAACCGAATGAGCAAGCTCGTCCTGGCGCGCATGAAGACCTTGGAGGAGAGTTTTGCAGATGTCGCGAGGGAGCTGCGCGGACTGAAGACGACGTCCAACTCGACGGCGCCTACAACTCGCCGCAACTCATCAGGCGAGGAGCTGCAAAAGGTTGCAGGGCTGACAAGCCCCGAAATCGCAAGGCAAAAAGAAGGAGGAGGCGATAGACCAAAGATGGTGAGAAGGACGACTGGCAAACGCCCGGCCAGCCGTAAGAGCAATTTGGGCCCCTTGGACAAGCCAAAGGGCAAGGGTAAGGAGCCGGCGCACTCATCAGGCGACGAGTCTGACAGCGAGGGTCCGGGTATGGGACCGACGAAGCGAAGCTCAATGTAAAAAGGGGAGGGGAGTCGCGGTTTGTATTTTGCTGGGCATTTTCCGGCGCGCTATACCAAGGTCATGGTTGGTGATTACCGGCATCCGCATCGCTGGGGCGTTTGGAACCGAGAGACGATTGTGTTTACCTCCCTCTGGAGGTGAGTTGTATTTGTGCATTGTTGTTTCCCTGCCCTTCCTTGCTTGTGTTATTTGTTATCTTTTCCGACGCATGCCGCATATACATCGTTAGCTGGCTGCGATTGCATTTGGACATGTGGATGGAGTAATGATTGTGGAACTTTTGGTATGTTTTTTTATAAATCTGGTTCTGGATTGGATCTGAGTGCCCCATCCCACTACAGATCATCCCCAAGTCTCCTGTATTCATACTTTACATAAAAAGTCAATTTGATCATCACCCGGATTGATTTGTCCCAATTATGAACTCATCAAGTGTCGTACCATTGGGTGGGTTGTGAGCTTCGCGGCAGCGATATTCATTAAGTTACGTTATTTCCATCTCCCCTTATACCGAACCAATCCGTGTCTCGTAACCGTTTGGGTATTTGGTTTTTGTGTGTGTTTTTTTTTGTTCTCATTTTACTCTTTGAAGTCGGTGATTTTCGTGAATAGGCCTTCTTAGATCCCACCGCCACTCCGGTCGACGCTGACGTAGTACGGATTGCTGGAGCACTGGTTCTGGTCGTTTGTTCTCCGGGAGAGGGCGGTGTATCTGAAGCTTACGGCGACGGCTGTGACGGCTGCGGTTACAACGATGAGGCCTCGGTGGCGGCTGTGTGTTTACGCAAAGATTAGTATAGTTTTTCTTATGTGGTATTTGTTGAAGGATCAAAATTATAAAAAATTCGGCGGGCAGCCCTTTTGGGAGGAAGGAAGGAATGAAGAATGTTGAGGAGGAGACGTACATTGCTGGGCGGATCTGAGGTACGGGCATTGCGGCTTTGGGTTGCATGGTGACAAGTAGGTAGCGGTGTATCTTTGCAGGATGAGAGCCGGCTGAGGATGGTTGATATGTTTACGATGGTATTTCACGTTTCGATGTGGTATTTGCAAAATCAGACATGAAAGTAATGGGTCGAAGACCGAGGAGGGGGGTTCTCTAGTTAAGTAGACGACGGCTCGACATCCTCGATAGCTCTTAGCCTCTTAGCTAAGTTCCTCCCCAGCTTTGCCGGGGGGCGACGGCGGCGGCATACGTGGGGAGAAAGAGGGAGGGAGGGGAGGGGGGGCATCATCTGTACACACTCACACACACACACAAAGTGTTTTTGTTGGGGAAGGACGGGGAAGATGTCACTAGTGCCGCTTGGTGTGTGCGTTTGTGTTCAAAGAAAGCTTGGGGGATCGGACGATTGGTAGGTAGTCTCTCTGATCTTAGGTACTTCTTACTAAGGGAAGATACTGATAGGTATAAGGACAAAGGAACTGGAACTGCGACTGCGATTGCGGCTCGGATCAGCAGTGTGTGAGTGCGTTTTGTGTCTAGACCCTGCTTGAAACTGGCAGACTGACAGGCCGGGGATGGGAATCCTGAGAGGGGGATTTAACGAGAGGAACGAATGCCGTGGCATGGGTTTGCGGTGCGGTCAAGGGAAATAGAAAGGGGAAGGGAGATGTGTTGCGGCGAATAGGGAGAGATGGATGTGAGAAGGAGAAGGAGAAGCAGTGTGAGTGAGTGGGTGATGTGTTGGTCTGGAACCGGTGGCGATGAGCAGTGGGCAGTGGGCAGTGGGCAGTGGTACGGTGCTTTGCTGATAGTGGCGTGTGAGAACTTTGGCGGGGTGAGCTGGAGGTACGGAGACAGACTTGGAGGGGGAAGGGTGACACGCGACATGCGGGACGCAAGTTGGCGGCGGGCAGTGCGGCATCTGATTCTGGGGTCAGGGGATGTGATTGGATGGTTGCGGTTTGGAGCTTGGCTGGTGTTGGGTTGGAAGCCGAGCCGAGACCTTGTCTATGGGGTAATTGATACCTGCGCCAGCTACCCTAATCCCTGGGGATGGGGTTGCGCAGGAGCCCAGAGGTTTGAAAAGATAATGGCGGTCAGTAGCTGAGGGACGGACAACTTGACTGATCTAGGTATAGACAGAAGACTACGACGAAGCGTATCAGGGGATGTGAAGAAGACTGAGGATGTTAGGAGACTGGGGATGTATTGGGGACGTCAAGTTATGTGCATAAGGTAGTTAGTTATTCGGACAAAAGGGAGCATACTTTTTTACTGTAGTAAGATATGTGTAATCCTGCTAAAGTACCTAGACTGGATGAGTTTCTTGAGACGGCGCCAACTGGCGGCACGTGTGCGCAGCTAGACGCAAGTTCGCATACATGTGTGATGCGGACGGAAGCATGCACTTCACTGGTTTGAATTGTTTGGTTTTAGAGTTGGGCCAAGTTTCAACCGATGGCGGGGGCAGGGAAGAGAAACTTGGAAACAATGCCACACTGATAAGAACACTGCTAGGCTGTCGGGTAAGTCAATGATCCTGCTGAGTGCGGGGGAGCTCTTTGGAAACATGCAGCTCTGGAGTGAGTGCTTCTGAGGTGGGAAGAAGCTTCGAAGCTTCGAGCTGGGAAGCGTGGGGGGGAAGGGGAGTGGGATGCGACGCGGATCCAGGATGCAGGATGAGAATGAGAATGAACTGACGATACTAAGTTTATGTACACCGACTGCCAATCGGGAATACCCTGAAGGCCAGGGAGTCATCCTGTCCATTCCAACTTTTTTTTCTCCCCCCTTCCCTTCCCTCTCCTCTTTCGGAAAGGAGGGTGCTCGGATGAAAATGTTGCATCAGCGCTCGGAACGACCCTTTTGGCAGCGGCCAGCTAGGCTACAATTGCCTGAACAACCTTGCTTCTGGAACAAGCTTTTCTGCGGGAGCTTCCTGGGTCCTACATTATGATGCGGCAATTGAAAGATTCGTGGGGTGTGAGTCAGGGTTGAATAAGCTTATCAACTTATGATTCATGAGTGACCGAGGTTTTCGTAGTGGATGTCATGACATTTAGGGATCAGTACGGTTCTGACACGATCTACCTAGCGGAATGTTACCTCGGCAGCCGGCTTTGGGGAGGACGGATGAGTGGGGCCGATATTCAGAGTCCTGCGGGCTGAGTTGACCGGGTCCGCTCCGGGAACAGCGTCAGGCTCCCTTTGCACATACGTTCGTGCCTAGTACCTAGGTAAGGTGCCTTTCTATATGTATCATGTCTTCCAATCAAACATGGAATCTAAGCACAAGCCAAGTTTGGAAAAAGTGGCTGATCGTTATCACAATCTGCTCATCGAGCTGGTTTGGGGTCGTTTCTCGAGGAATTCAATCAGAAAAGACTACCTAAGGTAAGGTAAGTCAGCATGTTACATACAGCACTTCGAAAGAGTGTATCCTATCAAACTCCAAATTTCCCAACACAAAACGCCTCATCTCCCTCCCTCCCTCATCGCAATCTGACTTGGACAAAACCCATGTCCGGGATTATTCGTACATGTGCTCGAAAAAGCCACACTTGGATTTCACCAATATGGCCTGGGCCCGAGCTCATCTCGGAATCCTCTTTTCTGATCCTCCCGTGAAGCTTAAGCGGAGAATGAGTCACGAGTCCAGCCAAACCACTTCGTAAGCCGTCTTCCCATGCCATGGAGCATGACGGGGTCGATCTTGAGCACCGGGTGCGACTTGTAAAAGATGATGGCCCCTTTCTCGCCGGAGAACCCTCCGAACCTAGCTCAAATCTCACTGCCAACCCGCCGTTGTTGCTCGCAACAAAACCGGCATCGCATAGAGCGCGTACGAAATCGTCCCACGTGATGTTCCTCGATTTTGTTTGCGCATCAGGGTACATGAGGTAGACCACATCGAGAGTACGCGGGGAGACGCGAAGTCGGGTCACCGGCTTGATAGAAAGAGTGGCTATATCTAGAGACTCCAGATCATCGACCGGTTGGACGCTCGAGGATGAGTTATCGGGGCGGGTCTTGACTTTTGCTAGATGGCTTGTCTGGACCAGATCAGCTCGAATGGATCCCTCTGTCGCTGTGCTTCTGTCTCGAAAGATGTCGGGAGCAGGCTTCTCGGCATCGGCGATGTTGGCCATGATCTCCTCTTCTTCTCGGGCAATCGCTTCCAGATATTCTGTCCTGTTCTGGACAAGCACGACACTCAAAGTCTCTTCAATGGTTTCCGCTTCAAGGCTAGTTCCTTCGAGATCTTTCCGAACCAGGTTCCCCAATTCCTTGAAGAATCCCTCGACAAAGCCTAGCAGAGTCTGGCTTTGCTGTAGCCATGCCTGATTCTTCTCGCTGCTGGGAGCCTTTCCTTTGTAGAAGCCGTCTACAAGGGCCTTTCCCATATTCTTGAACTGTTGCTCCGAGTGGTTTTTGGGATTGTTCTGCCCATATCTCCGGATTCCGCGCTTCTCCGTCCGATACACATCTTTGACGACCCTGGAGGTGTTCTGAGGTCGATTGAGGCGCAAAGAAATCAAAGACTCATGGAGGGCAAATATGTCTGCCATTTCGCGCATGAGAAACCCATCGATACGAGCTGCTTCCTTTCTGTTATTCTTGACCAGATGGTCGTCAATCATTGCAAAGAGCATGGCGTGATCAAAGTGTCTGTAGTTGTCGGGCTTGCCCATCATTTGATGGAGACACCAATCGAGCGGGTCATTCTCTAGAGCCTTCTTTGTGCTCGGGTTCGAGTCCCGCGACACGCTGCGAACGACCGTTTCCAGGGGCACGCCAGGTCTCTTGGGCAAATTGTAGTGGTTTGCCTGTCCCGGTGACCAGGGCTTGGTTGACGAGGAGAAGCTCCAAAGCACCCAGTGCCAGGTCGTACTTGGGAGGGATCGGCTGGCCGGGATGCGTACTGTCTGAAAATCTGTCGTGTAGGTCCCGCACATGCTTGCACTCAATCTCAATCCAGTACCACCAGTAGTGTCTTTTATACTCCAGGTGGATGTATTTAGCCACCATCATTGCCGCGTCCTCGGTATCCGCCATGCGAAAGAGCGTGGTGCTGAAGAGACCCTTGATGTGCCGGCGAAGATACGCTGGGTCGCACTGAAGATCGATGAGATGGTCGATCGCCTCTTCCTTGCGCGTCTGGGCCATGGAGACAAGTAGCCCATGTCGAGCTTGGGAGGCCGAGAGAAGGCTGGTTTGGTGTAGAGAGACCAGAGCTCTGTCTCCCCCTGGTGTCGGAAACCAGTTGACGTGAGGTCCCTCCACTTATCCGTCCTCGCACTAGCACTTCCAGCATCTGCACCCTCGAGAATTTCATCCGTGATTCTGGAAAGAGCGTTCATGAGGAAGGCTTGGGCCTCGAGTACAAGTCGCGCGCGAGGATAGCCCAGAGTGTATCCGGAGTGCGCATGTTGGGCGTCCCAGTCGACAAAATCGCCGCACCTCGGTCCGCACATGACGACGCACTTGGCAGAGAATTCGACGTCAAAGTTTCAAGTGACGCACGATAATTCCATCTGACGACAGTCTAGCGGAGCGAAGTCCTTTGGCGGATATAGAGTCCGATAATGGAGGAGAGCGAACAGGATGGCCGGGCTCGTCTTGAGCACCTCGACATTGAGCCATGGAACCAGCAGTTGGCGTTGCCTTTGCAAATTTCGCTCACCGAATTGAAATTTCTCGTCGCTGTATCCGTATCTGGAGTTGGTCCACTGCGATTCCTCGAGCTTAGGCACGGCCTTGTGCAGTAGCTCGCGATGTTTTTCCCGGCTTCGCTTCCGCCAGCGGCTCATAAGGAGATCAGCATGGGAGCTAAGACGATTGGTGATGTACTTTCTGCTCTCCTGAACTGCTTTGACGTATGTAGACGCTGTTTTGATTGCAGAGTTATCTGGGATACTGTGATGGTAGGAATGGACGTACGCATGCTGTGCGCTCTCAGTGTAGTGTCCTGTTTGACAGTCGGGGCAGTCATGTGGCGGTGGTCGTATGGATCGTTCGAGTTCTTCTTGATTACATAGCCAGCCCTCCGGTACTTTAACGAATCTGGGGCGTGTATCCGACATGTGTAAGTCAAGTGGATGCGGTATCATTCATCGGTGTGGGACGTTGTAAAGTTGAAGGCAGAGGCGCCCTGAGGATTTCCCAGTAGTTGCGTGTTCCCTTCTTCGTTTCGGACAAAGGAAGCATGTGCGATCAGTCGATGGTGTTAGAAAAATTCCAGCACCATTGCAAGCCTACAATCCCAGAGATCAATGCATGAAGTATTTAAAAACGTAGAGGAACAGCCGTGGCTAAATCACGTCGATATGCTTAGAACATAAGTTCTTGCCCTTGTCCTTTGTTCTGACATGCGGTCAGCTAAGGTACCCAAGTATGCTGCCATGCTTTTGTTTGCCAGTCGAATTTGAGCCCTTGCTCAGTATAAATACCTATATAATGGGGGGTGGTATTTCTTCGATGTATCTTTTAATCAGGCAAGATAAGGTAGATTCTCCAAACAGAAGGGACTGAGTTATGCCCTCCTTCCAAGAGTCGCTTTGTCAAGCCGGTCGGTCTCGAAGTGGAGCCAAGCAGACCGGACCTCCAGCTCTCGGTCCACACAGCGCCCGGCCGGCCGGACCGGAGCAGAAAGCCAATCCCGTGGTACTTGGAGGCACCTCAGGTAAGCACAAGGTACGTCACCCGCTTCCCCCACTTTTGGCCATTCGAGCAGGCAACAGCGACAATGAGGCCAAAGTAGGTATTGATGAGTCTTTAAAAACCTTAGTCATCTACAGTGGGTTTTCAAGAGACCGCCTTACTACAAAGCCACGAGGAGCAGATACTTTGCCAGTTTCCTCATCTGTTTGATCTGAGGCCTGCCAGGAAATTGGCTGACGGTTTCGTGGCTTTGCTTAATTACTACTGCCTGATTTGGGCTGGTAGGCGCTCATCAACTCTATCCCGCATCATCTTCAATGTCTTTGAAGAGGAAGAGGAAAAACAACTATGTCCGGGGTCCGCTGATAGCCGTCTTCTGCCGCCTAAGGTAGGCCTCTTTCTGCACTCCCCTCTGAGAGCTCTGAAAGACTCGCTGGCTGCCAATTGCTTCTCCCGATTTCATGGTGCCTAATGTGACCACTCCGAACTGCTAGGAGCTTTGTCCATCTTTATGTACCTACCTTAAGTACTAGATGTAATGCCACAGCTGTATCCCTGCTCCTCACAAGGTGTAAGCTGAGCCAGATCAAAGCACCTCAGCGTACCGTACCAGACATTTTCTGCACCCGAAGTAGAGTCACTCTAGTCACGAGTTGCCTGATACCTGGTCATCCAGTCATCTTTCTCATTCCCGCAGCATGCTCACCGTACCCAGTGTCCAAACATTTGTACCTAGATTGGTAGAAACCCACGTTGGTTGCCTGCATAACTCCTAGACACGGTCTCATGTCACCAGGGCATAGCGAAGGTACCTTTCCTTACCCCTCCATCCATACTTCTCATCTTCCTCTCAACCTTCACTGTCACAGCCTCATACCTCTTCTTCTGATTCCACCGCATTCTCCTTGCCCAAAACCCACCATCATACAGCATCGCAATCCATCAGGCGATTCTCGTGAGCAGCTTCTCTCCAATCATCCTCTCTTCGACGCTCTTGGTAGGACAGCCACGTGGCTGAGGCAGTCGGCGGTGTCTGGAACTGCCCTGAGTGGCATCTGACTCTCTGAGACCTTGCTGCCTGGACAAGGCTACGCACCCCTACCAACCTTGATCTTTGAGTATCCAGACTGCGAACTGGCGAACTCGTTGCCTTGCGATAATCCCGACTCTTTCGGCCAGGCTTTTTCGCTCAGATATTTTCAATTACCAGAGAAGCCCCTCATTCCTTTGGTTGCTACTCTAACTTCGACGTCGTCAACCGCCCGACTAGTTTGGTGTCAGTCATCATCGGTGTGAGAGCTCGTGGAACCAGATCCTCCTCACCTCAACATTCAACTCAGTTCCCGTTGCCTATATCCCGATCTCGTCGCAGCGATGGCTCCGTACGAGAACAAGGCGCCGCCAGCGGTTGCAGACAACGACTGGTCACCTGTAGTCATGGACTGGTGGGAGGCCCCTCAGGACGAAAACCAAGAAGACAGCCGGGGCGATGCTCAAGATGAGCCCGCGCAGACATTCAATACCTTCAGTACCTCTGTACAATCGCAACAGGGACCACGCGCCACTGAGAATAACATGCCGCATAGTCAGGCTCGCCGCTACTCCCAGTTCATTCTTCACGACATTCAGAATGAACTCAACGAAGGCGATACCTTGATTTTTGTGGACTTCCCTCCTCCTGCGAACCCAGCAGACAGCGTTGATTGCTTCATATACGCATGGAACTCGGTCCGATTTCGGATGCCCTCTGAGAAGCTCCTGGCCACTGGATCTTCTAAGTTCGCGGAGATGCTGAATCCTACCTACCAATTCCGTGTTCAGCGTCGGCGCAAGATTGCCAAGAATCTTCCCCCAGGCATCAAATACGTCTTGGACCTTACACCTCCTTCCGAGGGCGACGATCTCGTCTTTCAGATGACCGAAGCTTCGCTGACACCGGGCATCATGAACTGGTGGACAGCTTTCGACAAGCACGATGTAGACGATTACGTCGTGCGTGGCCATGACGATATCTGCTCGTGTTGGAAAGAGGCAAGGTTCGATAGCTTCAACATGATTATCGACAAGATCTCAGCGAGCGAAGCGTCACGAGATGAGAACAAGGAACGGGACCCGGAAATGGAGTATGCCATCAGTTCAGCTATCAGAGAGAGTCTACGCGATGTCATTCCAGAAAACGGCAAGAATAAGGAGAGGCTGTACAGAGAGGACAAGGGATTGGCTTCCAGGGTTCTGGAAAAGAAGTCTAGAGGAGACTTTTCCGCTCCCCCGCTTCCCCCCTATAGACGGATCCCGGACTACTGCCCGATCCGCCATCGCGTCAACATTCTGCGCCTCATGTGCATCATTGCAAACAAGCGAGTTTTCATCGATTCGGCCGCTCGGGTTTGGACCCTAGTGGCGGTTACCAAAATTTTGGACTGTACCACTGTTGTGGTGAGTTTCTTCGCCGCCCTTGTCGATTTTGTTCGATTCTAACAAGATCAATAGCGCGATATAGTTCTTCAATGGATCACGTCGCCCAACAATACCTCCTTCATCGAAGTGTTGCCCGAGGAGAGTCTTCAGCTCGGTGTCACTTTGAAGCTGGACGCTGTCACCCGCTCAGCGTTCCGAATCCTGGTGAATGAGCTGGCTCTGGAAGAAGCCGCCGCTGTCAATGGTACACCCAAGGCCGCGACCTATACCGTCTTTGGACGCAAGCGCCACGATCCCGGCGACGACTTGAACAACCTCATCCAGCACGCGGCTAGAGCCATGGTTGAGCGTGTCTCGTGGCCCGTCAACCAGCTGGTCAGCGAGACCATCTTCGACGACCTGCAGATTCCCGAGTGGACGCGGTTGCAGAACCTCATCAGCATGCTTTCGAGCTGCCCAGATGACCCCGTCATGGTCAAAGCCAAGGTCTCCGCGATGACGGTATCATTTACGCTGAAGACTCTCTGGGAGAACCACGTGGTCTATAAGTTACTCAGGAAGCCTCTCGACGCCGACGACCTCCAAAAGATTGACGACCACCGAGCCAGCTACGTCGACATTCAGAACTTTAACCGCTTCGAAATCATCTACAACCAGTTCAACAATGTGCAGAAGGCTCTGTGTACTTTCATGTACGAGACGGTCGGAAACAAGTGGGTGTCTCTGTCCGAGATATTCACTTCAAGCGCCTCGGGCCAAATGAACGTGTACAAGTTGGTCACGATCTTGTGGGAGCACTTGAAGGAAGTTCTCGTCGCGCACCCCGAGTTCGCCTGGGACGGCGCTTGGATGGCGGTTCTGAACCTCCCTCGTCCCCTCTCCATGGAAAACCCGTTCGACACCCGCGAACTGGATAAGATGGGTGCCTACAGATACGCATTCGACACCCGCGAATTCCAAAAACCCCTCCAGAACTTCCTCAAACCGTTCTACCAGGAATGCGTCCGTGCCGACTTCGAGATTAAGATGAACTTGACGCCGCACTTGCTGCTGAAGCTGCACCTCAACGAGTTGAAGTTCTTACCTCTCTGGGCAGGCGGTAACGACGACGGTACCGGAGGTGTATTCGAGCACTCCCTGCCTCCTGCCGACTATGGTCCAGCCGGTCCAGGACCAGCTTACCACACTGGCATCACGATCCCCTCGGATGCCTCTAGTACATCGGGCTCGGTCAGCAGCGTCTTGAGACAGCTTCGTCTGGAGGGGAGCGGTAGCACCGTTGGACCTGGCACCGTGGACGTGCAAGACGGCATCTCGACCGTTTATAACCCTGGCAAGGTCGTGGCTGATGACGTATCGATACTCACAGAGTCGTTTACGGACGGAGAATTGGATTACGACAGCGCGAGGTTCGCCGTTCCCGCAGACGGACAGTCAATTGCAGAGGCCATGAGCACCGTGGTCATCGATGTGACCCCCGACGAGTCAGACATGGACACCAGTGACAACTTCGATATCGACATGGATGGGGACCACGGTCTGATCAACTACTCTTGACAATCAAACACAGCCTCCCAGGCCCAGGACGCAATTAGTCCTGTTGTCGAGGACCATGAGGCAAGAAAACTGGTCGACTCTTCCAGCAGCGATCTGAATACCGAGACTTACCTTGACAATAATGGAAATGAATCCAGATTCCTCATATCAGGTCATGAAGACATACACTTCAACGATGGACAGGATGTCACTGGATGGTCGGTTAGGGAAGCTGCAGCTACCTACCTGGCTAACATCCTAAGTAACAGTCCAAACATGCATCTCTTATATGCAGAAGCGTATGAGAAACTGCAAGAGGAGGGATTTCTTCGCAACCACGATCGTTTACTTCAACGATATTACCTATCGCTGCGATCTCGAGCTACAGACAGAGAACAAAGCGTAGCAATTGACTTTCTCAGATCAAGATTCCATAGAAACCTTATCTCACGGAAGATTTTTGATATGTGGAGGGAGGGAATTCAAGGAACCCTGCCTGGAGTCAGCGGGGAGAGCTCAAACCCAAGAAGTTCCCCGAAGTTCGGTGACGTCCAGTCAGGTAACGTCGTCACAGATTTGGAAACTTTTTCGGATACTGAAGAAGGGAGCGAGCATGGAGGCTGTGAGGACGGAGAGAAGGAAAAGTACAATGGCCCTACCCTCGTCGATATTGACAACGCTAGAACTTACTTCGTCTCCGGAACACCCCTGATGCGGTTCGAAACCGAGTTCCGAAACCTCCTTTACTTGTCTTGCGTGAGCGTGGAAGAGTTACAAAAGGAGTCACTGAACCAAGCAAAGGAGAAGGAAGAGCGGGAGGTAAATCGCAAGCCGCATAGGTGGCATTACGACAATGTCTATTGGACACAACGCCTGTCATTTTGGCTTCATGATACCTTTCTCCCTCCGAAATCGGGATACAAAAGGGTTCGGTACACTTGTGTCAGTAGCTTACTTTCATAATTATCTATTGCCTTCTCTGAGTGTCAATATAAAGCTCACTACCTCTTATAGGAATGTGGAGAACCCATGTTTTTGGACGTGAAAGAATTACGCCCGGGAGGTATTTTGCGATTCAGACAACAATTCGCAAGAGACGGACTTGCCAATCTTATGCATCGCGATGATTCAACAACAAATCAGGACCTAACAACAGATCAAGGTCCTCCTCAGTCCGGCCTTTCCGCACCCTCTCCTGCATATATTCGGTCTGAGAGCGGTCAGCCCACTTCGTTTCATTCTAAAACGCGCAGCTATTCGCAAGGTCGAGGGTCATCAACGCGAGTGCCAGACGTGGTCGGTTCGGAGGAAATGCTTTTTGACAGAGGAGGAGAAACTACTCCCCAATACTTGCTGATATGCGTCAACCAAAAGCGCCTACCTGTATTGGATCAAATCAATTGCAGGTATTCCAGAAACGACCAATCACTTTTCCAGCATATATTGGGAAGATATGACTCATTACGCGAGGAAGCAAATTGGAGAACATCGTTGCTCTTCCCGCTATTAGTAGGCACCGTCCTAGGCAAAACATTAGCTTTCTTCCGCTGCCGCACTCCGAACTGTTTAGAATGGATTTTCCTATTCTTTCAAAGGCTTTTCGAGGCCAGTCTTTTCAAGATACACACCGGCGAATATGTTCAGGTATATGAAAAATCTCGACACATTGAGCACCTCACTGATAAACCTCTGACAGTTTTGTCTCGTTCCGATGGGCGGATTTGACAGCCCACAGCATTTCAGGCGCGGCGAATATCCACCTGTTTCTGAAGTCCTAGAAGCCAAACGCTATTTATATGACCCAGTACCAACTGATGTTGCTATCGATTCGATTCCGTTATGGCATCTAACGCAGCCCGGCCTCCATCATAGGGGTAATTATTGGACTACTACATTCCCGAAGAAGTTACGAGATGAGCTACGCCGTGAACCAGGAACGAGCGGAAAAGTTATTGGCTGGGGAATACTGATCAATGAGCGCCTCAACTGGAACCTCTTCTTCTCTCTTCTTCTCGTCACGTTCATCATTATTTGGGTAATCGTAGCGATTTATCTCGCATACAAGGCCGACGACTCTTCAGGGTTTGGCTTAGGGGCTCTGCTTGCTGGACTCGCTGCGATATATTTGCCTTTTCAGTACAACACCTGGAAGGAACGGCTTGATTAAGTTTCTGCGATTAGCGTTAGGTTCCTTAGTTGCCTGCCCTTACCACAAGATATACGATAAATGACCAAGCAATTACTCCCTCGGTTCCAGCTTTGCAATGCCATTACCTGGGTGGTAGGTCATACCGGTGTTGACACAGGGAACGAAAAGGGGTCTGCGGTTGATGACAACAGTGGCTCACATACAGGGCAGCGCAGATGAGACCGGAGGTCTGGGCAAATGAGGTAGATGTTGATAATGCTGTATTGAATACAAGAATTCAGTGAAGCCATTTTGCCGTTCTCACCATAATGTGAACTCCCAAGGCCGTCGTCGTGTCGTGCGTGGTGGTATCCTCCCTATTTTCTTTTTGGTCTATGCATCAAGACTCTTCCAAATTACATACTCCCATCCGATTGCCCGGATCCCTAATCCCACTTCTTGGCCTTAGCCCCTGTTCAGCGTGTTTCCTGAACCCTTAGGATTCGCCTCGACAAACTCGTCCCACGCTCTCGCCTTCATCGTCTCCTCGTCCGCCTTGTCAAAGTCATCTTCATTAGGTTCCGGGCGGTGCCAGCTAGCGTCGCCGCCGCCCTCGATGATGCCGCCCCGACGCCGCTCCTCGTCGAGGTACTCGTCGATGCTCATCGTAGGCAGGTTGTGGCCAGGGCGGAAGACATCCTTAGTCATCTGTTGTCTGTTCCCGACGAGCGTGAAAGGCTGCAGCGGCTTGCCCTCCGTGGACAATATGGGGCCCCCTTGCCCAAACATGCTCTGCAGCCGGCGCGGAGGCTCAAGACGCTCGGTGTATCCCGCGGCGCCGCGGTCTTCGGTGCGACGGCGCTCGTCTTCCTCGACGGACGTCGGCGAGGGCATCAGCGGTACCGTGGCCTGGGCCAGGACCTCGAGCTCGCGGTTGATGCCCTCGAGCCCTTGGAACGCCATGTGCGCCGAGTACGCGACGTGGGCGAGGTGCAGGTCGCGGGCGACTTCGTCGTCGCCGTCCTCGTTCTGGTAGCGCGGGTTCCGGCGCAGGGCCTCTAGGCGGTCCTTGAGGGCCTTTTCCGACTTGAAGTTTGCGATTTTGGCGTCGCGGCGCTTGGCGGGGTCGTTGGTGCCGAGGGTGGAGAAGGCGAGGGGCTTGTCGGTGTAGCGTTCGTAGAGCATCTTGTTCGTGTCGGTCAGGAGGTCGTAGGAGTCGAGGGCGCCGAGGAAGGTCTCGTAGGACTCGCGGGCGCGCTCGAGGGCGACGCGGCGCTCGATGGGCCGGCGGGAGGGGAGCTTCTGGTGCAGCTCGGCGAGGTGGTATGTGATGAGGAGGTAGGGGAGCGAGGAGGTGGAGAGGTCCTCAAGGGACTCGTTGGGGGAGAAGAGGGCGGCGCGGGAGATTAGGTCGAGGCATGTCTCGTACTCTGTGATGGCGGTTTGGAGGTCGTCGAGGTAGGTCGGGGAGGAGGCCTCGTAGGAGTTTTCGAGGGTGAGGCGCTTTCTCTCGGCCGACGTGAAGACGGATTTGAGTGTCTGGGGTTGATCCTCGTCTGCCATGATCGCTGTTCGGACTGTGGTTGTTGGCTGTTGGGAGGGTGTTCGTCGAGAGCGTTGTTTGTTGCTTGGTAAGGTAAGTAGTGGGGATGGATGGAGGGGTGGAGGGGTTGGGAGAGAATGGGAATCGCGACAAGTTGCAGGGAATACGAGAAAAAAAGCTCGAGGGGGAGACTTGTAGCCGAACACAAAGAATGATAAAATCAAGCTGCAGAGACGATCAAAGTGTCATAAGTTGTGGCGTGTGATGGATTCGTAGCTAGCTTGAAGTCTACTGCAACGGTTCGCCTCTTTGCGCTTAGAAGAGGCCATCAAGAAATGGCGCCAAACGTTGGGTTCCGTCGTTCCAAATCCTTAGGTTGAGTGGCGATTTGCATTCTCGGCAAGGGTCCTTATCTTATCTAGGGGACCACCCACCTCCCACCTCAGCGCTACCTCCCTCACGACGGCGGGGGGGCTGAGAGATGGAAGGTGGGGTAATAGCAGGGGTCCATGTCGGCAGAGCTCTCGACCGAAGGGCAAGCGGGAGGTACCTAATACTTAAACTTACAAACACCATCCTGGGTTTGGTGAGCTAACAATAACAGCTCTTCAAGAGAACCACCAGATGAAGCAGCCTTGCTTCTATATTTCAATCTCTGCTTGACTCGTCACTTAGACACCTTTCTACAAAGAAGCAATACTTCGAGGGCAAATGTTTGGGCCTCGTTGAAAGAATCTACCACCGAGCTCCATAGACATTGTTTGGAGCTTGGCTCAACGCAAATTCGGGCGAAAATTCTCAAACAATTCGATCCGTTTGCTTGTCTCCTAATGCTTGCCGCGCCATGCCGGCAGCAATCGGAGGAAAGATGGATCCTGGACTGACCTCCTGGACTGATCAGTATTATCTTAATGGTTTCAACTCTCATAAGTCTAGTCTTGTTTCTAAGCTCTATCTGAGTGTTTTAATTCTCAATGACATGAAAAACATCAACTTCCTACGAAGCTGGTACAGCTTTGTTGTGATCACCTTTGTTTCGTTGAGAGCCAAATCACCATTGGAAACAGCACCATCCGAGGCATTTGAAGCGGGTTCTTTCCCAACTTTTCTGGTACTCACACCTTCCATTCTTGACTGGAAATACGGGAAGGCATACGGCCAGAGTTTTCTCCCCTTCTCATACTCATATCATATCCTTCTACCATCACCTTCCCTCAGGTTTCCCTCCACCACGTCCGCTTTACTTCAGCCCTCCGACCTTCACCTCATCAGACACCACAAATAAGCCAGACATCACCAACCCTTAACACATAGGTTGAGGTGAAACTTGTCTTACTGAGAGGTACCTAT